GTTGCTGCCAGCGCCAGTGGCGCCCACTGCGGGCGCTGGTCGAAAAGCGCCATCAGCTCCGCGCGGGCGTAGAAGTGGTCGCGGGAGGTGCGTGCAGAGATGCTGGAGGAAGGAGCCCTTGTCTAGTGCTGGATGGCTGCAGAGCGGGCACGTTGTCTTCGGTTTCGACGGGTGGCACTGGTTTCTCGTTCGATCTTGATTGCAGCACCCTGTCATCATACTTCCGGCTAGATGCTTCCATGCGGTCCCACGGCTTTCAAACACCTGGTAGCAATTGATGCATTCGTTGTTCGTAGTTAGTAGAGCCGCTAAACTATGAACATGATGATTTCGTATGACGTGGCTGTGAAGCGCTTTCTTGCTCGAGAAGAGGAGTCCGCATTCTTCCACTCCATCCCCGAGTTCGCATTTCCACGGTTGGAGGTCCTGGAGGGCCAGATCTTCGATGAGTTCGTCGTTTTGGGCTTGTCCAGGCGGGGGGGTAGCCATTGTCAATTTAGCTGCTCTGACCTCGCGTACCTGTAGTAGGTGGAGCTGTTCTCTAGTCGTCAGCCTGAACATTTTATACATCGTGATCTCCTGCTCCCCGAAGATGGTTCTGAAGCTCTCCGAGACTTGGCCGCTTTCTCGACGTCGTTCACGATTCTTCGGGCCCAGGGATTCGTGTGTGTCGTCAGCTCGTTTCCGTCGTTCTCGTTCTCGGGCCCGACGTTTTCTTCCCGATTCGGGTAAGACTAAATTCGGTCCCGATCTGTCTCCGCTCTCTCGAAACCGAGGCGTCCAAACAAGGCGACGATGAGTTGTCGATGATTGTTCGGGCATCGCAATCTGTTTTTTGTCCAGCCAAGTCTGCGGACCAGTGCTCCCTCCGCTGGTGCCAGTATTTACCAGAAGCGGAAGACCTCCAGCGTCGTCATGCTGCGGGCGGTGCCGTCCGCTCGGTGCGTGCTCGCGCGGCCTGCCATCGCCTTCCTCAAGAGCGCTCCCATCGCGCTCTGCAGCGTGCGGTACTCCGTCGGCGTCGGCAGGAAGCGCTCTATGCACGACAGGCCTGTGTTGATGACTGTGCATATCAACACTGCTCGCTTCCATCGGTAGGGGATGTCTGGCTTAGTCCAGAAGCCGCCGCACTCGTAGTAGCTCTTCTTCATGGCCTGTACTCTTTTTCTGAAGCTCGTGCTGGTAGTTCTGGGTTGCTGTGATGTACGGGCCAGTTACCTCGCCGCCTCCACCACTTTGCTTGGTAATCTGCACCGCGGGTTCTTCTTGGTGTTGCGGTGTGCCTGGCTGGCACCGGGTCCCTGGAAGTAGATGATGCTATCTTGTATCTTGCTTGTCCTGGTTCTGTTTGAGGCCGATCTCGTTCAGGCGTTGGTTGAGCTTCTCGTGTACGGCGTAGGCTTGCTCGGCTATGTGCTGGGCGTCTGCTGTCCTGCCTCCAAAGATCATCTTGCGCAGGTCGTCAGCGTACTTCGTGAGTCCCACATAGACTGGATGCTGAAATAGTTCGTTCGCTATCTCCGTAAAGCAGGTTGTCGTTGGTGATCGTCTCGTTGCAATCTCGGACCCATCGGCGTACACACGGTGTGAAGCTGGCGACGAAGTTGTTGACCATGTACGGGTCGCCGATGAGTCCTCCACAGTGGGGCTTGATGCACACGCCCTGTTCCGTGTCCCTGCATGCTATCTCGAAAGTGGCCCTGCGGTAGCGCTGCTCTCCGATGTCCCAAAGGTCTTCTGGCATGATGTTGCTGTTGGCGGCGTCCATGGTGATCCACGAGCAGCTTGCGAATGTGTTGGACATGTCCTTCATAGTGGACGCGGAGTTGTAGCCTGACTGTCTAGCCCTGTACTCCACCACCGCCATGGTCAGGATCGCTCCCTCGCGGCGCCTTCCTTTGATGAAGCCGTAGTCCTGGTTGCTGTAGGTCCTGGCGTTCTGGCGTCGGATCCCTGCCGCGTAGTACGCCTTGCCGAACGGGTCCATGATGTGGTATATTCTTTTGCCTTCTGGGCCCTTCTTGGCGTTCTTCTTGACTGCGGTCGCCAAGCTCTGGTGCCAGCGGACTGGCGTCACATTGCGGATGCGGATGGCCGCTAGGGCTGCCTTGATCAATGCTTGAAATTATTCGGGTTCGCGGTGGTCGTGGTGGTGTCCAAGCCCTTGTCGCTGTCGCGGTAGTTGTTCGTGGTCGTGGTCGCAAAGAAGTAGTCGCCAGATCTCCGATGGTGCTGTTGTAGGTGGTGCTGCTCGTCGTAGCCGTGCTCGTTTGAGTGACCTCGCGATCTCCATGTAGTCCTCCTCCACCTTCTCCTCGAGGTCGTCCTCGTAGTAGTCTTGCTCCTCTGCGTTGTGCGGTATCTCTTCGATGGTCTCGCGGTCCTGCTCGGTGCCGTCCATGTCTCCTGCTCCTCCTGGTTGCTGCCAAAACTCGATCCACTCCTGCTTGTTGGGATTCGCTGTCGTCGCCGTCCAGTAATCGCGTTTTCTTGGTCCATAGCGTCCTCCTGATATCAACCTTGGCAATATTCCAACTGGCGCCAAGTCTCTCTGTTCCCATGCCTCGTACATCTCCTCGATCCTGGCTTCCGTGCGCTTCTGGTGCTCTATCTTCCTAATCTGCTGGCACTGTTTTGTGATACTTCGAAGTTCTGCCTCCAAGTCGCGCATCTTAGATTCACTCTCTGTGATGGGTGCTGGCACTGGATCGGCGTATGGGTTGCTGTCCTGGGTTTCTCTGTCTCCCTTGGTCTCGGTCCCTTGGATCCCAGCCCCGTCCTGGGGGTCCCATCGGGTCGGTGGGGATGACTCGGGGTCTGTGATTCGGCGTGCAGCCTCTGGCGTGGTACCTTCATGCTCTGCGAGAAATACAGCTCTGGCTTCTCGTCGTTTGCGTAGTAGGAGCATGCGATCATCTCGTAGTCGTTCGTACTCAGTCGTCGGCTTGGGCGTCTGGCCGTGGTGCTTCTGCGCCTCCGTGGTCAAGATCTCGTTAACGTCGCTGAAAAGCTGGTCCACTCCTTTGCCCTCTGGGTTGTACGTCTCCATGGCCCTCTCAGTGTCCTGGATGAACTCCGCTCGGTGGTAGCCATTGCGAACCGCCTGCACGAGGCCGTCCCTGTTCCACTTGGGGGGCTGAGGTTGGTGTCGCACTCGCTGTCGTAATGGGAGTCGGGAAGTGGCGTGGACTGGCACATGATCTCCTTGTGCTCGCCATGGGATACGCTGCAGTCGCGCTCCCAGTCGTAGAAGTGGTCCTTGTGAAATGAGCGTCTCCGTCAGATGTTGTGGTCGCATGATGCAGTCAATGCAGCTCGCGTGGGTCGTGCCGAAGTAGGTCGGGCGCCAGCTGTCCAGCGTGTGCGTGGCGAACAGGTTGTAGCGCTCCGCGTACTGTCTGGCTTTCTGTCCTGCGCCTCCTGGTAGCCGTTCTGGTGCTCTGCCGTCGCCTATGGCTGTCGTTATCGGTCTCTCGTCCCGGGGAGTGATGCCGATGCCGTCGTTCAGGTCCCCTGCCGTAATCAGTACCGCGTTGCGCGGCTTGTGCTTGCTGACCGTGTCCATCCAAGCAAAGAGGTGGCTGATCGTGGCGAAGTAGGCCTTGCGTGCATTCTTGCCCTTCGTGGGTTGCGGCGGGCTGTAGCAGCGAATGATCAGGATGATCTGGTCGTCGTGCTGCAGTGTGATGGCGAGTCCTCGGCCGCTGAGCTCAGCGGGCGGTTCCTGCAAGTCAATGGCCTTCGCGTGTCAGAGCCTGCCCTGCAGCGCGATGATGATACCCGTGCTGTGGTTCGTCAGGTCGCCTGGCTGCCAGCCCGCGTCGTAGTAGCGCGTGTCGCCGATGCTGTGCTGGGTGATGGCGGGCTCGCGGCGTCTGCGCGACGTGCCCGTCAGGATGATGGCGTCGAAGTTCGGCGCCTCCTCGTATATCTCCGCCAGCCTGTCGGGCTTTGCCGAGAGTGGGCTGAAGAGAAGCACCGCGAGAGAAGCGGTCCACACCGCCATCATGCGGGCCGCCGCCCCGTCTGTCTGCACAAACTGTGGAATGACAGTGGCGGTCTGGGCTGCCCTGACAATCTCTTAGGCCCAGATGGCAGCTGGAGGAGGAGGAGGAGGAGGAGGAGGAGGAGGAGGAGGAGGAGGAGGAGGAGGAGGAGGAGGAGGAGGAGGAGGAGGGGGAGGGAAGGAGGGGGGCAGTTCTTTATCCCCAGGGCCCGAAGATGCATGAAATGTGTTCCTTCCTTCGCTCCTCCGTGCATTGCCCTCCCCCCCAAAAAAACGCCCGAGTGTCTTAGAGGCCCTTGGAGGTCCCCGGAGGCGGGAGGCCCGGCAAGGGTTTCAGAGACGTCCGACGGCCTCCCCCTTCCATCGACCCTCGAGGGAGGCTAAACTCAGTATCGTCGTTGGTAGATCCTTGGTCGAAATCCGCCTCAAGCCGGTGAATCCCGCCCAATCCGGTTCAATCCGACTTGGTCCGGCTTGATCCCATTATCCGGCTTCATCCAGCTCCATTGCCCTCTAACCGAACTGGGCAGACCGTACTATTTCCCGCGATGACCTCCGAGGAATTGCCTCCCGAAGGACTTCGTGGCATTTTTTGTTGCAAATATCAAAACATGTAATGCCTGGGCTGGCCGCTTCTCCGAGACGCGCCTTGCCCTGTCGGCAACAGGCGGCGACGGGCGGCAACGTGGCGAATCGTCGACGTACCCCCCGAGGCGGCAACGGACGGCAACGGGTGGCAACGGGCGGCAACGTGGCAGATCCTCGACATGCCAAGCGATTCCCCAGGGAGACAAGCAAGAACCCCTCAGTGCGAGCACCGCCAGGGGAGCATCGGATGTCTGGGCCAGCTGGTTGCCCGAGCCGCGCCAGGCCCTGTCGGCGAGGATCTTCCGCGGAGGCGCGCAGGGGCCTCCAGGCAGCGAAGGCGTCGACGCGTCGTCGTCGCCGTGGTCGGCGGGCGGTTCGGGGCCCGCGCCCGCGGTGCGGCCGCCAGGAGCGGCTCGAGGCCGCCCGGGCCGCGCACTGGCAGGCGGAGGTGGAGGCGTGGCTGCACGTAAGAGGGACCCTTCGCCTCGGTGGCCCTTGGTGCGCGGCCTTCGGGGTGCGCGTTCGGGGCCGCCCCCATCGAAGGCGGCGAGGAGGGCGAAGAGCTCCCAGGGGAGAGCAAGACAATGTATCCACGGGCGCCGAGGCTCCATGCCTTCGGCGAGGCTCCCGCAGGGATGCGTGCGCACGTGTGCAGCCCTGCCCTGGGCTGCTCGCCCCCATCGTCGCCTCCGCTCCCAACGACGCAGGCCGCTACTGGGCAAGGCGCGCACCAAGGGTCCCTCCTGGCCAGGGTAAATTCTATCGTGCAGCCGAGAGGCGCGGCGGGCGCAGGAGGTGCTGCGGGAGATGCGCGCGGAGGCGGGGCGCTCCCGCTTCGCGGGCGGCGTCTCGCCCCCCCCCCCGAGCTGCGCCCGAAAAGTTTCTGGCCGCGGCTGCGGGGGCCGACGAAGAATCCATCCAGCTCGAGGAATGGCGCTCCTCCTCCGCCTCCTCTTCCTCATCGTCCTCCTCCTCCTCCTCCTCCTCCCTCCTCCTCTCTCCTCCCTCCTCCTCCCTCCTCCTCCCTCCTCCCGGGGAACTCGGGGAGACACCCCACTGGGGGCTATTCGGACGCACCCCTATCGAGGGTGTACGCCCCCCCCCCCCCCCCCCTGTCGTATATCCCCGAGTTTGGCCACACATTGCTTGGTCCAGTCGGAAGCCCCACAGAGTCGGGGATTGGGTTCGCCATGCCCACCGTTATCGTCACGTGGGCCCGCTCCCCGAAGGGAACAGGGTTTTTGAAAGAGGAAAGAAAGATATCGCTAGACCACCTAAAGAAAGATATCGCTAGACCACCTTAACCCAGAGGGCTGGTGATGTTATTCGAAGACATCAGTGGAGCGGGATCCCGCCCCTACCACGCAAGACGGGTGTCTTGCTAGGCTTCTAGTGGGGTAGGAGGGGGCATGGAGTTTAACGCATCCCGAGCCATCGCTCCCCTCTGCGCTGCTGTCGCGGGGAGCTCGCGTTTCTGGGCGCTGTGTGCAGCTGGGCGACATGACAGCAATCCAGGGAACCTTTGTTACGGCGATGTATGGGTGGGAGGGTGAGGGGGGTGGGGGGATGTCCTGGCCAAGGCCATGCAATCTCCCAGATATCATGCCGACCATTCCTCTTTCAGCACGCCCCCTGCCTCCACCCCCCCTCTTCAGCGCACGTGCCTCGGCCCGTGCTGCGCTGCCCCGTGTCTTCATACAGGTTTTGATCCCAGTCCTGCCTTCGTGTCAGATTTCGGACCAGGGCGCCCGGACGCCCCCCCCCCCCCCTCCCCGCCGCTGCGGTGGGCCAAGCGCTCCGATGGCCGCCGCCCCCGCGCCGCAGCTGGTCCGCTGCAGTGTGGCCGTGGAGGTGGGCGGCCGCGCGATCCCGGCCGCCTGCAAGGAGCTCGGGGCTGAGGAGGACTGGCCGCTCGGAGGAGCAAGATGTCACGATAATGATGCGTTCCAAGGTTTCCAGGATTTCCAGGTCTTCCTAATGTTCCATACGGGCTTCAGAAACGAGGGCCAACACATACCTCATAATTACTGAAACGTACCCTGAACCAGTCGTCGCTTGCCATCATGATCGTCCAAATGTTTGGTGTTGCTCGCTCACGCAGACCACCAAAATGTGCATAGCCCCAGCAGGAAAGAGCGGTGCTGTCACAATTCGCTTGGAACCTAGACGGCGCTCGTCATCTGTGCCACCAGTAGTCCCTCCAAAGAGCTCGTGGTTGAGGCGCTTTAGCAGCATTGTCGTGGCCCCTACGAGATTCCCGAGACGCTCAGCGCACAGAAGACTCGCCTCAATGGTTTGAAGAGTGGGGAGTCGCCTCGGTAGCGGCTGAGGGTCCTGGGTCCTGGCTGTTTTTTGTTGGGGGGGGGTCCTAAATTTTGTCTGGTGTAGTGTGGGTTCGGGCGACTTGGACTCATCTTCTACTGGCGTCTCTCTGTCTCCCCTGGCATGGCCGCGGCCTCCCCTTGGCGTCCGCCTGGCCTCCCCCTGGCTGGCTTCCTTGGGCTCTGCGCCGCCCCCTCTGGCCTCCTCTTAGCCTCTCAGGGCAGCCCCCCTGGGACGCGGAACCCTTTTTTCGTCGTTCGTCCTCCCCCCTTGGCCTCCCCCTGACTTCCCCCCTGGCCTCCCCCTTGCCTGGCTTCGCTGGGCTCTGCTCCGCCCCATCTGGCATCCGCTGACCCTCCCAGGGCAGGCCCCCCTCGGACCGTCTCCCCCTAGCATTTCAGGGCAGCACCTCTGAGCCGCGGAACCCTTTCTTATCTTGCGCAGCTATGTTCTAGGGCTCGGAGCCCTTTCTTTTCGTCGTCGTTCGTTCTTTCGCTCGTCGCCGCCTCCAGGCCCCCAATAAAATCATGATGGCCCCAGAAGCCGCCCCTCCTGACCGCCGCCTGGCCCTCATCCTTCCTCGTGCACGAGCCATGGCATGCGTGCCACATGTTTCCGTGGTGTTCGTCGTCTGTCCCCCCTCCCGTGGCCTACCACTGCCTACCCCTGGCCCTTGCCCCAGCCCGCTTGCTCCCTCCGGCCCAAGAGCCCTTGATTTCCGTGGTGGTCCTCGTTCGTCCCCCCTCCTTTGGCCTACCCCTGGCCGTGCTCCAAGCCCCCTCGCTACATGATCGTGCTCGAGCCGAGACACGCGTGCCACGTGCTTTCTCTACCCTCCCGCCTTTCCTGGGCCTCCAGAGGCTTCCTGAGGCCTCGGGGGGACCCTCGGGCTTCAGAGGCCTCCGCGGCCCGCGGGGGCCTCGAGGCACCTCCTGGTGGCATCCGGGAGAGAGGGGTCGCAGGAGAACCACGGCGGGTTTCGAAACGGGTGCGGCAGCAAATAGGGACGAATGACCGACAGCAGCCGTGGTTCATTTTGAACAGAATGTTCTCTCGGTGTCGCTGGTGACGTTGTCGATTTGAGACAACACATCGTCTGCCCAACTGCGGCCACTGTCGGTTTTGGACACATGTGCTGTTTGGCATCGTACGCATTTTTCTGTACACACTTCGGGAGTTCCAAGTGGGCGTTTTTGCCTGGGTTTTCTGGCCTCTGGGGCCCTTGCGGGCTGGTCCATTGCTCAAGAAGTGTGGCGGAGGATCCGGTCCCAGACCTCCGAAGGATGTTTTTCTCAACCATCCTGTGGTGTCGGGTCCTCGATTGAAGAGACAGCGCCCCGCGTCCTCTCCTCCTCCTCCTCCTCTTCCTCCCGCTCCTCTTCTTACTCCTCTTCCTCTTCCTCCTGCCTCCTCTCACTTCCTCTTCCTTCCTGGCCCAGTTTTTTTGGCTTGCAGCAGCATGCCTTCAGAGCGGCCACGTGCTGCTGCGAGTTGTTATGGCTCGGGCAATTTTGGTGAGCTTCTGGAGGAGCATCCAGTTTTTTTGCTCCTGCGCGAGCGCATGACGGTGAAAAATGTGATCAAGGGACCGGACGTCCCATACTGGGGCTGCCAAGCGTGTGGACTTACCTCGAACTGGGCGTGCCGCTTGCGATGCCGCTGTGGAGCGCCAGCGCCGAAGCACGTGCCCGAGAAAGCCAAATCGTTTGGTGGCGGTAGTGATGGGGCTGGTCGTAACACTTCTGGCGGAGGCTCAGGGCCGAAACATCTGGGTGAACGACAGAATGCCAAACTCGAGAAACAGATTGCCGAGATGCAGATGCGCATCGACTCCTTCATTAAAGCTGCTCACCCGCGGGTCAACAACAGTGGGCCCCAGGGTCAAGCTGGAGGAGGAGCTAGTGCACAGGCTGACAAAGAGGACGGGGTGGACCCGCTGGTCATCCAGGCCTCTTGAGTTCGAGACGGCAATCAAATCTTGTGACAACGACCACACGGTGACCGCAAAGGACCTCTGCAGCCGCAATTACGTAATGTGTGCGCCAAGCTGGAGGCGAAGAAACTTAATATCACCACCCACACGAACGTGGGGCACAGGCTGGCGAAAGCACAGAAGCGGCACCTGCAGATTGTGGAAGAGTTGCGGTTGCAAGATGAGGCAATCAAGGAGGCAATGCAGAAACGTGACGAGATGGAGGGCAAGCGAAAGGCGCTGGAATGTGAGGTCACGACGCTCAAGCAGCAGCTGGTCGATTCTCTCCCTCAGGACACGCCTGGTTAGCGCGATGCTACTCCCGTTCATGGCCTCTCGGTGCCTACTGAACTCCTGGGAGGCAAGGAAGAATTCAAGTCGATGCACGATTCCGAGGCTTTCAAGGAGTTGAGAAGACCTTCGCGGATAACGCCAGGTGGGCACAGTCGTCTGGGTCTGCGCAACCTGATAATGCAAGCGCGCAGGCGGCTGCCATCGATATTGACCACTAGGCAATATCCAATTCGACAGCGATGAGCCCGTGAGGAACGATCACACCACGCGGCAAACGTGCGGACCATCTGATCCCCACAGTTGTCCGAGCAAAAATAGCCACTCCCGCGGACGTCAGGCCTCCTTCGCAGTGATTCGCTGGCGCGCAGAGGATGCGTTAGCCTAGTGCCAACGCCACAGCCGCGTTGTCACCTTGAGCCCCCCCAAAGCCACAGCCGGTTTATCGAGCTTGGTCCAGCAACAGGCGGGGGGGAGAAGGCGCCGAAAAAGCGCCCTTATCAACCGCGAGCGGGGCCCCAGGGTCACGGCGCGCAGCCCCAGGAGAAAAACTGGCAGACGACGAGCCTGGCAGCCCCTCAGAAGCCCGAGTCTCCGCCGCGGCGACTCTCAGAGGGCAATCCCGCCCTGCAACTCCCTCGTCGCCGCCGCCGATGCCGTCGACGCCGCCGTAGAGCAAGAAGTCGAAGAGGCACCTCTGCGCGCGCGGGGAGCCCTGGCGCTGGGCTGCCCAGTCGAACCCGAAGAGCATGACCTAGGAATCGAAAGCGGCGTCGCCCAACATCACTGGCACTCCGCCGGACGCCCCCTGCGCTTTAACCCCCCCTGGGGGGCCCGACGCACTCTGCCTGAGGGCGAAGGGGTCCAAGGGTCCAGGGGTCAGCGCCAGACGATGCCGACGTCCGTGCAGTACCCAGCGCAGACGGTGACGTAGCCGTGCGCCTCCCATCTTTCTGCATAGTGATGAATTTCGCCAGCTGGAGTGTCGGCCACTGCATGTCACGCGATTCGGTAAGATACTTAGCCTCTCCAGCGTCACCACTAGCTGCGTATTTCCTGGCAACGTCCAAGTTTACACGTGCGAGGTCGCTTGAGTCGAGCTGCTGCCAGAGCTTCAACGATCGCACGCTTGTCACCTTTGTGCTTGTCCCTGGAAGCCTCGGCACCCGCGGCAGCTCAACCTGGACATTGTGAAGCGGGCGGGGGAGACTCTGGAAGGGTAGCATTTAGCCAT